ACAAAAATCATACAGGTTAAAAATTAAAATGCATTACACAATTAAAACCTTCAATAACTTTATCAAATCATAACGGATTTTTGCAAAACTTGGTACAGAAAGTATTTTGGAGTGATTGAATGTAAATACAAAAATAAAAGTCAAATTTTTTAAATTCAATATGGCGGACTTTCCTAAAACTTATTTTAAAAAATGATGAAATTTGCTAACTCCAAATTCGTAATCAGCGACCCTGAAACCCCCCGAGTAACAATTTTCGAGCGAATCCAATGAATTTTTTAATTCTCATCCGCCATTTTGAATTTTGAAAAACTGACTTCAAATTGGTAATTAGCGACCCCAAAAACCGTAGAATACAAAATTTTATTAAGATCCTGAAAAACTTTTTTCAACAAACCATTTGGCAAAAAAATTGAAACACTCCTTCGAGAGAACAGAGATTAAGTTTCTGCTTATTAATTACTAACGAGGATACGTATAGAAAGAAAAACTTTTTTCTATGTACTTTTATAATGTTAAAATAATAGTGTAATGAAATAAAAACAATTTTGTGTGGCTCTGATGTAAAAAAAAATTATTGAAAATACCGTTCGGAATTACCCCGGTTTTCCAATTTTCCTTGGTAAATACGAACGGTCTGATATTATTAATAAAATTTTACAGAAGGCAAAAATCAAAAATAGTTTCTGTTCTAGTATTCATAACAAACAATTATAAATAATAAAATAAATTTTTAGCTTCTTTTTCTTCAAATACGAGACAAAATACTGAAAGAGTGTCATCTTTGATTTTCAATCTTTTTTGCAATACTCGTTATCTTTGTTTGTGCTGTTGCTAATTAACAAACGAAAAATGGGATAATACTTAGAATCTCTTGAAGAGGATCTGAGGTAAAAATTCTCATATCGAACTTATTTTTAAAAATTTTAATTAAGCTAAAATAATTAGCGTTCGGATTTACCCCGGCTGACCCTACCAGGAAAGAAATATATTTTTTAAATTGTAAATGTTTAGTTTAAAATATTAAATTGAAAACTTTTTTTGGTAAACAGTAATAAGTAGAAAATTATTCAAGTTTTTTAAAAAAATTTAAAAATATCTCATTTAATCAAATATGTTAAGCACACACTTTTTATTATAAATCTGACAAATAGAAAAATAAATGTTTCAAAATTAACATGTTTTTTCTAATTTGTAATATAAAAAATAACTTACCTATTAGTATTTTGCATCTCTGATCACTGTTTGACGTTTGATAAACAATAACTTAACCTATTTTTAATTTATTTGTTTTTCTATTTCCAACCATCGAGAACTGGTGCATTAGCTAAAAAACTGAATTCTCGAGCCATTACCTCGAAAAATAGAGAAAACCTAAAATATAGAACCAGATACCGATGATTTGTTTTTAAAAAATATAAAATAATTATTGTAACATATATTTTTACATACAAACTCAATATAGTTTTTCTACAATAATATACAAATATTTTTTCACAGAAAAAATAATTAATAATATAATTAATTTGTATTTCTAAAATTCTATTCTCATCAACCTGAAGTATTAAGAAAATGACGAATCGAGTAAAATTGACAGCAATGCATTTTAATTTTAATTGAATAATTATTTTAGTGGCGTTTATATAAAATTTTATTAAGTGAATCTATAGTTGAAAGTATAAAGAATATTTACAAATTATTTTTGTCTATAAATTTTCAATAAAATACTATTTATAGAAAAAATAAAAATAAAATCATCGAGAACTGGTGCACCCTCGGTAACTGGTAAAAATAAAAAATAAATAAAAATAAAAAAATAATAAAAATATAAATAATTATTTTTCATTGTAGCCGTATATATATCAAACGAAATTTCTTAATTTTTTTTTATTTTTAGGTTATATTTACATGTAAACAAACAAAATTTAATGACAAGTTCAGCAAGTATTTTGTTAACATTCAAATACGTACAAAATAATTTGTATCAAGTAAAGTTGCCTGTGTTAATGCTAATTCATTGATCAATTTTGCAGTCTCATTGTTCACTTTTTTATTTATAATTACACAAAATTAACTCGCATCAAACACATTTCAAAAAAAAATCGCCAACTGACAGTTATACACAAACACTTATATAACAATGTACCATGTGACCTGTAATTCCTCGCTTTTCCGCTAGAGTTGTTAGTATCGGGAATATGTAAAAGCTTCTATTAAATCTGGAAAGGTAGGTCAAGTGTAGGTCTCCGCATAGACTCGAGGTCCTCAATTTACGTATAAAAATCGGATTTTTTTTATTTTATTTATCTATCTCAATGAAAAGCTTGACTAATTTCCTACAAAACATGTAATTTTCAGAGTGGAATCGTTTAAAGTTTTTGAGATATTAATTAATTCATTCATTAATGTTTATAACATATGAAATATTTTACAAACAAATAAAGTTACCGTAATTCTGAATCCAACGAGCCCAATATGAAGTATTTTGGATAAGTAGATTGTTAATAAACATTTGTAATACTAACTACACTGGAATCTCCGAAGAGAGGACAACGGGAGTCTTGGACCTCTCTACGCAATACGCCCTTGACTTCGAAAAGTGTAAACATTCAGGACCGTATATCCAATATCGGAGATGTGGTTTTTAACAAAATACATTTTACTAATATAAATGTTTATAAATTTAAAAAATGTTAATTAAGATTTGAATACGGGCCGTTCTTTAAGTAAAACAAATTATAAACACATGTCAATTGAATAATAATTAAATAAGCAAAAATAGTATTTTTTGGGGTTAAACATTTATTTAAAATTTTTAAATGATTTATAGTTTAATTAATTTTTAATTATAAACATTTATTTATATAATATTTAGTTAATTTAATTTATATAATTTTTAATCTTTATTATTTATTCACTTTTGATTATGTTATAGTACGTATTACGACCAATATTATAATCTTTAAAAATAACATCTTTATCAACGCCAGCCTTTATTTTTTTCAAAATTTCACTTTTTTTCTCTACATCTAGAAATGTTTTTCTTTTTTTTCATTTATTTTACAAAAAATTTAGGAACCAAAACGCTACGCGACAAACGTACACTCAGAACAGACGGTCCTGCGTTCACGTCGCTTTTTCTAGCCCGTCCCTTCTCTCCCCCCTTCATTCCGAACCGCGTCGCGTCCATACTTAGTGCTCTCTTGGGAGATTCCAGTGTAATTGTTTATTAGCAATCTACTTATCCAAAATATTTCATATAGGGTTGGTTGAATTCGGAATTACCACTCCAACCGGGCGTTTCAATTTTGACCGCGGAGCTCTACGCTATTTTTAGAGCGGTCTTGTATTCATACGAACATAATTTCAATAAAGCTTTAATTGTTTCTGATTCTCTTTTGTCCATTAGTCGTATAACTGTCTAAAATTTTAAGTTAACCCGGAATTAGTTTACAAAATACTGGATCGCACATCCCTCAATCGTCAACTCCCGATGATGCCCGAGTTTGATTTCATTTGGGTACCTTCTCACTCTGGCATAAGGGGCAATGATCGTGTGGATCGCATTTGTAAGGAAGTCAACAAATACAAGAACAGAATTTAATTTGGCCCTCCTTTGAGTAATTGCAGGGAAATGGTCTTCGATCCTGATCGTTCGTCGTAGCTAACAAGATTGTGGCCTTTTAATGCCAACGATAAGAGGAGAAGATATTTCGCTGGAATCACATTCAAAACTAGTAGGCCCTGGAACGGCTGACTGACAATGAGTGGTTAAAAGGTTTGGGTCTATCGCAACCTCATACGTGCAATCTTAGATTGGGGTTCCCCTCTTTATTCAGACGCAGCAATCACGACAGTGAAGATGCTGGATCGTGTTCAGTTTGCCTCCTTGAGAATAGCTATGGGATGTATGAGATCCACTCCGACTCCAGTTTTGCTGTCGGAGGCGGATGAACCCCCTCTCTCTTTCCGTAGAATTTTTCTGTCGAACCAGTTTCTCGCGCGTAACTTTAAATGGAAGGATAACCCCCTACTCCACAAATTGAGATTGTTGGATGAGAAATCACATTTTAGAACTTTCCATTTTAACAAGAGCAGATTAACCGTACTTAATACTTATCAACGAATCGTCCCTGTAATTCAGATTTGTGGCAGAACTTCGAGACCTGTATATTTTGATTGGAGATGGACTTCGTTGATTGTTTCTCCTGATTGTGACGTTGTTTCGGGTAACATTATAGCCACTATAGCTGAGTACAATTTCGATGGAACGCGGAGGCGAGTGCGGGACTAGATACGGCCCAATTTTCCTGACTCTTAATTTCCATCCTTAATGGCAATAACTCAATTGAACATCATCCAATAAGGAGCAATTCAAATGTTCACTTAAGCTTAATTCAAAAAACTTACTTGGCGGACTCTGACACACACTGGATGGAGCTTAAAGTTGCACCTGCAACGAGTGCATTTATATATCTGAAACTTTTTAACTCTAAGTTTTTGTTCTGACAGTTGGCCAAGCCTAAAGTCATTTAAGAGGGAAGAAGAAGAAGAAGAAGATGTTCTGACAGTCGGCTACGCCCAAAGTCATAAAAAAGAAAGAAGAATAAGACACTTCTAATAAGAATTGACAAGATTCGCATTTTCAGAACGTTGAACGAAAGAAAAAGGAAACGAGACAAACCTATGCGAGAAGAGAGAAAGACAACCACTTGTCTCATAAAACCTTATCTCTCGCTAGACACTTTATTTCTATATTCATTTTAATTTCCAGGGGAATTCTTGATTTAACGAAACACTTCGTTACAGCAGAAACAAAATCAATGGTAATTGACAATAATATTCCACTGCAGAAACCTTAAAAAGTTCCTTGGATTAATTTTCTTCAACAAAAACTACAATGAATCAGTTTTTGAATCTCGATTCGGTGGAGGAACATTTAGGATTTGTTTAGGGATCATAGGATTATATACAACAATTTTTAATTAGGAATCGTAAACTATATTTTTTAAAATTTTATATTACTTTTATTGATACAAATACATTAATGTTGTCTCTTGTGCTTTAATATTTCTATTGGTCGTAAGTAAAAAGTTTCTTTGCACTGTGGACAATCATAAGCAAGTTTATTAGAGCTTTTAAAATCAGGAACAAATGAATTAACATCCTTTTCTATCAATTCTTGCTTTGAACATAAAACTTGATGTTGTAATCTTTGCATAGCTGTAAAAATACCTGATACACAGCAATTCGAACATTTCCAGGGATTTTCACACATTTCAGCAATTATCTTCTCAGTCCAGTCATTTTCCATCAAACTGCAAAGAAACAAAAAGAATGATTTCCAAATATTCGTTTTTATAATAAATTCACAAAAACAGAACAAAACATTTCCTGAACATTTTCTAAAGATCATATTCAACCCTTATAAATACACTATTACAAAGGATGAAAAAAATAACATTACTTTTAATTAGATGTACCCTAAGTTGCGCAGGAGTACTATAATTCTGATGACAAGTTATAAGCAGCAGAATATATTAATTAAAGTTTATTTTTAGCATCGTGGCACAGTAAGTGTGATTTTAGCACAGTGATTACCTCTATAAGTGAGATTCTGTATGCGAGCAATTTTTTTCTCATGAAACTCTATAACGATAATTACGATATAACGATAAATTTTTTTTTGGGTATTTCTTAAAATCCTTTGGTCAGTTTTGAGATATTAATATGATAAATAAGCCTACTAAATTTTATCTAAATACATTAAAACCTGTTAAAGTTATCTTCTAAACAAAAAGGGATCCACACACACATACATACATACATAAATTTGTTTCCGGCACTTTGAAAATTTTTATAAGCAAAAGGACTACAAAGCTTCCTCCACGAGGAAGCAAAAAAAATTAATTAATTATTTAAAAAAATTATCCGGAGAAAGCAAATCTGTGAATCAAGTTGTTTGTAATCAGTGCACCTAAGATCTGCCAAATCTTTTAAAAGGGTATAATCGAAAATGATATTTTTAATGCAAACAAAACAAATTTAAATGATTTAAACAATTTTTGAAAAAATCATCCGCCATATTGGATCTGACATTTAGAAATTTGTAAATCTGACATTTTATGCTTCTTATTTGTAATCAAGGAACATAAATACATGGAATTTTGTAGGTTTAGAAGTAATTGATGGGTTTTTAAGATTTTTATCGACGATATTATTGAATGATTTTTTATTTTCGGGCATTGTATCTAATGTATAGGGCCGCCATTTTTAAATTTTTTAAATCGCCATTTTGCATTTAAAAGTACTTTTCGGTACGAACATTTTGAGCCCTATAAGACCTTATTCAGTTGCGCTCAATTTTGGGACTGTAAGTGAACCGGTTGACGTGGAATATCCCATATAATATATATATATGTTGACTTCATTTAGTAGAATGTATTGTCTGTGAGTGACGTGTGTTTCCTAGATAAGCTTTAATAGTGTGTATTCTCACTCATACGAATGGAGATTCTCTGTCTATCGGTGTTTCTTGGAAATAGTCGTTCGATTTCGAGAATTACCGATGTAATTCGAGGAAGTTGAGCGAGGTTTCCGAATAAGAAGTGAGAACGGGCAGCTTGCGTGGCTCATGGGGGTTTGCGGGGTGATGAATCAAAATTCGCTGTCATAAAAGCAAATTTCCTGGGTTTTCTCATTCTTATTGCTCGGACTCGTGGTGCACTATATTCACGCCACTCTTGTGCATATCGCCGATGACTCACAAGTAATCTGTTTTGAAGTGTAATAATTTTTATAATTTATAATAAATTTTTAATTGAATATTATTTAAAATTTTGGGTATTTTGTTATTGTTTAATATAAAGGTGTGGCGATTTATTTTAGGTGGGTGATTTATCATAATTGTTGATGGGAACGCGTTCCGGTGTGGAGAGAAAGCCCAGGAAATAAAAGCTAACTAAGTGCTTGCGACAAGTTAGGACAATTGGTCCACATATTGATTGTGCTTATCCTTAGGAAGAGGAAATTTTGTTTCCGTACTATTTTGACGATCCTTTCCCCGCAAGCTTCGCAGGGCCATACTTGCTGTTCGTCCCCAACCAGAGTTGCCAATGACCCTACCTAAACGCTACTGCGCTTGCGCTACAACAACTCTCTTATAGGTCGAAAAAAGCGCGCTTATATAAAATGCTTAATAATAAGAAAACGTTAATAAAGCAAAATAAAAATATTTTCACTATTGAATTTATTTTTTTTTGTAAATTATATTACTTTTTAATAAAAAAAATTTATTTCCTTAATGTACTGAAGAATAATAATAATTTTAATAATAATAATATTCATAATTTTATTATATTTATATCATTATTGTCATTATTTTTTTATAAAATATATAATCTATTATTATTATCATCAATTTAATATTTATTAATTAATTATGTAATATATTATTTATTTTTGTTATTATTATTATTAAATTATTATTAATTAATTATATATGAAATATACATATATATTTTTAGAAAAATTCAGCGAAATTTGTTTGTACTTTTTTATGAGGAAAATTTGAATTGGTAAAAAAGTACAAAAAAATTTCGATTCATTTTTTTGAAATATATAGATGTAATACATTCATAGTTAATTAATAATAATTTATTGAAAATAATGATAATAATAATAATAAATAATATATTAATTAATTAATAAATATTATATTGATGATAATAATAATAGATTATATATTTTATAAAAAAATAATGACAATAATGATATAAATATAATAAAATTATGAATATTATTATTATTAAAATTATTATTATTCTTCAGTACATTAAGGAAATAAATTTTTTTTATTAAAAAGTAATATAATTTACAAAAAAAAATAAATTCAATAGTGAAAATATTTTTATTTTGCTTTATTAACGTTTTCTTATTATTAAGCATTTTATATAAGCGCGCTTTTTTCGACCTATAAGAGAGTTGTTGTAGCGCAAGCGCAGTAGCGTTTAGGTAGGGTCATTGGCAACTCTGTCCCCAACCGACACTACTATCATCTTCTATCACCAACGAGCGATAAGTTTTCTTTTTCTTATGTAATTTTTATTGTTGCGAATATATCAAATTTTACGGTCTTTTGACCTAATATATATATATATATATATATATAATTTTATTATTTTACGTTTATGTATGTTTGTGTGTATGTATGTGTTGAGACGTCTCTAAGAGTTCTTTTTTTGTGTTCTTTAACGAAGTGTTTAATAAAATTATATGACCTCCATTTCATTTAAATTATATATTTTGATTTTATTTAATAATTTTTTTGTGAGACAAAATATTTTTATTACACCATGGAGCACAGTTAAAAACTCGTAATAAATTTTTCCCTAAAATTCATATTTTCCATTGTCCTGAAAAGGACAGATTGTATAGAACTGCAGACGGTTACACAGAAGATTATAAGGTATTAAAATATGCTGCAACGCTTATTATTTTAATCCAATTTTGCTTATTTTAATACCAAAATGGATTAAAATAAGTAAAATTGGATTAAAATAATAAACGTTGCAGCTTATTTTAATGCCTTTTAATTTTCTGTGTAATTTATATAATTTTATGTTTCGAACTTAAATTATTTTCTACGTGCGACATTTTTTTCGGTGTTTGTTTTGAAAAGGACAGATAGTTTATAACGGCTGGCGGTTGGTAATATGGCGTTGAGAGGTTGTCTGGTTCCGCGACAGCTTGACTGGTAAAAGAGTCAGTTGAGGTAACTGACTTGTTGCTCCGTTGAAGATTGGGGCCGACTGAGAGCGAGTCAGGAAAATTGCAGTCTTTATGCGACTCTGCTGCGTCTCATTCGCCGCTTCCTCTTCCCACATGGCAGGAGCCAATCAGCGTGTAAGATACCCCCACCAGCACCGCGCCTGCGCGGTACGATGAAGGAGTCAAGAGTGGAGGTAGGTCTGTCTCTCTTACGCTCTGCATATTAGGGGTTTTTCGGGTCGCTGATTACGAATATGATGTCAGATTTTCAAAATTCAAAATGGCGAATTCAATATAGCGGTCGAAATTTATAAAAATTCATCGAATTCACTTGAAACTTGTTACTTGAAGGTTTTTGGGGTCGCTGATAACGAATATGATGTCAGATTTTAATAATTCAAAATGGCGGATCCAATATGGCGGTCGAAATTTATAAATAGTAATTAGTTTTTATAAAACTTGGTGTCTAGGGGTTTTTGGGGTCGCTGATAATAACATAATAATAATAATAACATAATAACATTTATAAATTTCTACCACCATATTGGATCCGCCATTTTGAATTTTGAAAAGCCGACATCAAATTCGTAATCAGCAACCCCAAAAACCTTCAAGTAACAAGTTTCAAGTGAATTCGACGAACTTTTATAAATTTCGATCGCTATATTGAATCCGCCATTTTGAATTTTGAAAATCTGACATCATATTCGTAATCAGCGACCCCAAAAGCCCCTAAGTAACAACTTTCAAATGAATTGGTGAATTTTTATAAATTTCGACCGCCATATTGGATCCGCCATTTTGAATTTTGAAAATCTGACATCAGATTCGTAATCAGCGACCCGGAAAACCCCGAGATACCAGGTTTCATAAAAAATTATTTTTTTGTACAAGATTTCCTATCACCTTTCATTTAAGGGTTGTTTTTACCCCTAATAGCAAAAAATGACCTGATCTAGCAAAACGGCCAGACACGGGTATCTTTTTTTTGGTCCTAGTTTCTGAAAATCATTGATTTTTTCGTGTGTGAAAAAAAAGTTGAATTTTGTCGGACGGTGTAGTACTTGAACGCTCTGTATCTGTTCTATTGGCATATCGTTGAATTTATTATTACTATTCTATTTTACTATTATTAGGATATTTATCTTATAATTTGGTTATATTTTACATTGTTCGTATTTAATAAATTATTTTCATGAAATATTTAAATAATTTTTATTTTAGTAATTTATTATTATAAAGATATTTAGTTTATGATTTAGTTATATTTTACTGTGTTCAAATTTTTTAAGCTATTTCCGGAAGATATTTTTACTCTAGTGATTTATTATCAGAAGTATATTTTGTTTAGTATATTTAGTTATATTTTACATTGTTTTGATTTTATTAACTATTTTCTAAAAATATTTAAGTGATTTATTACTATTATAAGGATATTTAGTCTATAATTTGGTTATATTTTACAGTGTTCGCATTTTATAAGCTATTTTCGAAAATATTTAAGTGGTTTTTATTCTAGAGATTTACTATTGTCATAAGGTTAGTTAGA